AAAGAATATCAGTGAAGCAATTTAGTCTTTTTTTAAATAATTATTACATGTTAAGTGTAGAACACTGTCATATTTGAAACAAAGATAAATCATATGACTTTTAGCAAAGGGCATTAACTATACAAATCATTGTCATTTTTATATTGCCTAAGACACCCTTCTTCCCTGAATGTATACAAGCCTTTCGGTTAAACATTGAAAGTTTTCAGCGGTTATATGCAATTAACTCATTGTTTATCTGATATGCATACCTTTTGGAGTGACATAAACTTATTCACTGTACACAACTAAAATCATTCTGAAATCAAACACTTGTGTATACTTCAAGATTCTGTAGCTGGGATTTAATTGCAGTGTGAGCTAAGACTATAACCTATTCTCTCTCTTATTCAGCCTGGCTTATGCCTCACAGAACACAGCTGGTCTAGCTTCCCATGAATAACCCAGCTTTTTACTCTTTTCCTTATAACTGATCCAACCCGCAGTAGCTCTGCAACTGCCCTCTAACGCACAACTCTACTTTAGGGCTGTATTTTAAAAACTCTGTAAGCAAAGACTATATAATATATATTCTTTTCCATACGAACCTTATACTCTGAAAAGCACTAGACCTTGAAAAACTATAGCTCACAGGAGAAGGGACATACTAAGACAGCCCTCATAAAGGCAGCATAATGAAACTCGTTGAGTTTAGAATTTTATATGCAAGATACATCATTTTATATGAAATAATTTTATTGTTCCTCCTTAGCAGCAGTGTTTCTCAATCCACTGTTAAGCTGTATCTCCCAGGTATAAACAGAAAAAGTTTACACTCTTCAAATCTTTAATGCCATTTGAAATGCACAGTAAATTAAACGTCATATCTAAAAATGGAGAAAACTGCTGCTTTGTTTTAAAACTACACAGGCCAGTTTTCCATCCTTTGAGATTCATTTGTAAACTAGGTTAACTCAGGACCCATAAAAAATTTAAATAGCAAAATAAATATTCTGCTTTTATCATTCACCTAACTAAATAAAACTCAGCATTCAGCAATACCCAGGGCTAGGGAAACCCTGCAGCACAAAGAGCACTGGCTTAGGAGTCAGATGGCCATGGCTTCTCATTTCTATTCTAATTGCTGTGAGCAAATTACTTAAACTCTCTGAATTTCAAGTACTTGATCTCTATAATGTGGATAATAAAAACTGTGATATATGGCTATTATGAGAATGAAATAAGGACACATTTGATGCACTACAGCAACCCAGTGATCATTCCCACTGCAGTTTCTCCATCAGTCTGGCAAATCTGGGTAGAATATTATTCAGGGTCACAACATAGCTGGCCAAATGATTGCTATTTTTCAAATTATAGAAAACATGCACAAGGAATTATCACAGGAATCTAAAGGATATTTCCATAATTAGTTTGACAATTTAATGACAATAACTGGCTACTGATGATATACTGTGGTGTACATATTTATCTGCTTTAACAGTAACTAAAACCTTACCTGGGATTAGTGATAACTTTCACCAAGGCGTCGTAGAGCTCTTCTTCAGTAACCGTCTTCCACTGGAGCAGTATCCCCATGCCTTTCGCCTGGACTCTGGTCATTGTATCATAATGGTCTCCAAAGAGTGGGATTCCCACCACAGGCACCCCGTGATACATGGTTTCAAAAATACTATTCAAACCACCGTGGCTCAGGAATGCTTTAATATTTGAATGCCCTGGAGAAAGATAAGAAAGGAAACAACTTACAACATCATTACTCTAAAGGAGAGATTTTTTTCCAGAAATAGTGCAGATTAAAAATTGACACTACAGTTAACAGAGATTTCAGATACAGGATTTCTAAATTATCTGATTCCTGTTCTATGACAATTAAGTTACTTGCTATATACATACCTACCTGACTTGTATGTATCAATTAAAAGTCGTTTTCAGGTAGCTGAAATGTATAGCTTTAAGCAGTATTTTACAACTTTCTCTCAAACACAATCACCTGACTAGCAACATATATTTAAATGGGCAATACTTACTAGGAAGCCAATGAAAGTGAGAAATGCCAAACAAGACCACAGTGGAACCATATTCTACCAAAAGAGGTATTTCCTGACTTCAAGCATTTATCTATATTCAAGTCAAACACATTTTATTAAAAAATATGTAAAAATGTAGGGCTGGATTCCAGAAGTCCATGAAGAGTTAATGGGCTCCTCCAAGGAGGAATGTTATATAATAATCACTGTTAATAACATTCAAGTTCCATCAGAATCCATGTTTCACAATTTTATGGTTCACTTTTACATTTTAGGTATACAAACAAGTAGAGACGTTCATAAAAATCAGCTGTAAGAGATGGGACATCATGTAACATCCAGTTGCCATAAGGGGATAATTTGTCAAAATTAATGAAGTAGCTTAAAACCCATTTTTGTTCTCCCAGCCTACATAAAAAGGGATTGAAAGACTTGGATAAGAAGTGTAAGAAAAATATACTGCACGTGGGAAATGAATTATTGGCCATAAAGGAATTACAGCTTGCAGAAACACAAATCTTTTAAAATATACACACGCCAGGTACAAAAACTACGTGTGTGAACCATGGTCTCAGCGGGCCTCCCGAGGCTCTCCTGTCCCAGAGTCTAGTGGGGTCAGTCAGGCAGTGTCTCTCTGGCCTTCATCCACGGGTCTCCGACTCTTAGGCCCAACTAAAGGAACCGCCCTAGAAGTGGATTTCAAAGTTTCTTCTCAGTGGCAGAACCCTTTCCTTGAACAGAACCAAACCCCCAACTCTGCAGCAGAGCTGGTGTCTGAGGAGGAGGGGAGAGGTGTGTGGGGGGCAGGGGGGAGTGGAAGACACTGATTTGGTTCCTACTTCCCATCCGGGACAAATCTTCTGATCATAGTTATAAGCCATTAGGGACACAAGGGTCATGCCTAGAGTTTAAAAGGACATTCATCTTGGAGAGAAGTCAGAGCACCGAGACAGGAGCTATGGACTTGGGGAGGGTGTTCAGCGTGGACCTTGCTTAGCACCTCACAGTAAAAAACAAGCAAACAAAACGCATACGCAATAAAAATTTGGAGGTTCCTACATCAGTGTTGCATGGTTGCACTGAATACCTGACAGTCAAGTTACCTTATTTAAATTTCCTGCTTCTTTTTTACCTTCTATGGAATCTGAAGTCATAATA